CACTCACTCACTCACTCACTCACTCTTTGATTGCAAGTAGCGGTCGGCCACAACAAAAATGGCGACAGCGGCTTCAGCCCGGCGTCGCCGCTCACAACAGTCGCGTCCGTTCAGGTCCTTCCGGCGCGTTCCTTTACGCACTTCCGGTCCCGCCGCAGTGGCTGGCGCCCTTGTGCGGCCGCGGCGGTTGGACGCAGCGAGCGGGATGCGCCCGCTGCCACTGGAGGTGGCCCGAGAGGCCGGGGTGTTAGCAGCACCATGGAGCCGGAAGGCCGGAAGCCCGGCGCCGTCGTCGCGGTGGCCACCGAACCTCGGTTTGTCCAGCGGTACCGGGCCTTCCTCGAGCAGCAGCAGCTCCTGGACGGCCAGCACCGCGTGGAAAAGCTGCCGGGGGGCGCCGTGGCGCTCCCCGTGCTGGGCGAGGCCCCCTGGGAGCGGCTCCTGCTGGAGCTGAGGACTCGCGTGGCCCCAGGCAGCACCTGTGTGCTGACGCAGCTCCTGCATCCCGTGCCGTCCAAGAAGGCCCGCGGGTGTCCCCCGGCCCAAAGGCTGTGTCGTGAGCTGCGTCGCTGGGTAGAGGGTCGGGGCGTCGCGTGGTCGGCGGACTTGGAGACGGATTTGCCCCGATCTTGGCAACGACACGGCGACCTCTTGTTGCTGAGTGAGGGCTGCTTCCGAGCCAAGCAGTGGAAAGATCTGGAACCAGAGCTCTGGGAGACGGTGGCCGCGGCCCTTGGCGTCCAGCGTGTAGCCAGACGCGGGCGGGTGTCGCGGGATGGCACCCGAACTCCAGCCGTGACGTTGCTCCTGGGCGACCACGGCTGGGTAGAGCACGTGGATAATGGCATCCGCTACACGTTTGACGTGACTCGGTGCATGTTCTCCTTCGGAAACATCCCCGAGAAGCTGCGGGTGGCCTCGCTGCCCTGCGCCGGGGAAGTGCTGGTGGATCTCTATGCGGGGATCGGCTATTTTACTCTGCCGTTTCTAGTGCACGCGGGGGCTGCCTTCGTCCATGCCTGTGAGTGGAACCCGCACGCTGCGGCTGCGCTGAAAACAAACCTGGAACTCAATGGGGTAGCAGATCGCTGCCAAATACACTTCGGGGATAACAGGAAGCTGAAGCTCTCCAACATCGCCGACAGAGTGAACCTGGGGCTGATTCCCAGCTCCGAAGCAGGCTGGCCGGCCGCCTGTCAAGTGCTAAGACAGGATGCTGGGGGCATTTTGCATATCCACCAAAACGTGGAATCTTTCCCACGGAAGACTTGCCAGCCCCCTGGAAACAGTGGGGTGGAAGAGGAGCAGTGGCCTTATCTTCAGCAAATGAACACCAAGCATGGGGGAAATGGAATGTCCAGGGATTCTGGGAGAAAAATACTGGCAGGGACCGCCAAGCCTGAGTGGCAAAGTTGGGCGGAATCTGCCAAAACGCGAATTGTCGCTCTTCTCCAGCAGGTGCACGGGGGACTGTGGAAGACCCAAGTCCTGCACATCCACCCAGTGAAATCCTACGCCCCCCACGTAGATCACCTTGTCCTGGACCTGGAGTGCCGCCCTTGCCCACTGGTTGGTTAGAGGAGGTGGGTCCTGGGACAGAGGGTTCCACTGTATGAGTGACCTTTATTGCATCACCCTCCTGCCTTCTGGTGATACCGTTTACCATCCTGTGGCCCTGACAGTAGGCTCTAGAGTACAGACCCTGGTCTTTACATGTCTTCCATTGAATCCACTAGAGAATGAGCCGCCAGCGGGTGTGGGAGGAGCAGCACAGCTCAGTGAAACAAGGCCCATCTGCGTGATCCCTGATTTTCTCTGGCCTTGAGTGCATGGCTACCTGTTCTTTTGGCCATGGGACTTACTCATTTCCAAAGCGAAGGTTTCTTTGACTGTCTCATTTGTCTGTCAGGTGGTGAGCAGTGGGGCATCTGATATGTTAGGGTGAAAGATGGAGTGCTGTGTCCAAAAGCTCAGTCGGGACTAACCTGGAGGGAGGTCAGGAGGAAAGCTGGGTGGCCAGTGAGGAGGCCTAGGTGATGGTGGTTTGCACTAGGGTGGTGGCAATGAGGAGTGGAGAGATTTGAGTAAACTAATAGAACTAAGCTGTTGTTAGGTGTCAAGTTTGTCCCGGCCCATAGCGACCCTCCTGTGCTACCCTCAAAATTGTTCTTATGCCTGAGCCATTGTTGCAGGCACTGTGGCAGTCTGTCTCATCTCGGGCCATCCTATTGTATGCTGCCCCTTCACTTGACCAAACACGGTGTCTTCTAGTGACTGCTCTCTCTCCTGACATGTCCAAAGTAGGTGGGACCATCCTTGCCTCTAAGGAACATTCTCGCTGTACTTCCTCCAAGATGGCTTATCCTTTTAGCGGTTGAATAGAGCCCTGTTAGTAGTCAGCGCTGCTTCAGTGTCAGGGCTGAGTTAGGGAGGTAAAAGGACAAAACCGACTCCTCTGTAGGAGTCCACTCCCCCATTTTAGCATCAATCCCAGGGTGGCACAAAGGGCAAAGGTGCAACTACTAATTGAAAGGTTGATGGTTCAGACCCACCCAGAGGTACCTCGGAAGATAGGCCTGGTGATCTGCTTCTAAAAAGACCACAACAGCCTTGAGAACCCTGTGGAGCCCAGTACCATTCTGCACGTGTGGGGTCCCTGGGAGTTGGACTCAAGTAACAACAGATGCGTGTCGGGGGGATATCTTCAAGTTCAGGGTTCTTGTGGAAGAAAAGTGAATAATCACACTAAATCATAGGCAACCTTGAGACATCCCATTCCCCACCATCACCGCCCTCCCAGAAATTTGTGCACCTGAGTCAATTGCAAGCGGTAAATGAAGTTCTGATTAGAATCTTAGTTTCTTTTATAGGCCTCGAACTTCCTTCTCCTTTCCCTTCCCTGGCTGACAGCATCAGGACCAGCAAAGGCAGCTAGAGGGAACAAGAGGTTTGCTGCAGTGATTTGGAAGCCAGCACATTTTCTGGCTGGCCGTTGGCTACCACGATAGTTTGCCGATGGTTTGCTGTTGGGCTGGGTCATTGTTGCGACTCACTCAGCTTTGTTTGGGTGCTTTCTGAAGCCGGCGGGGTGTATGGTTCCTGAAGGCTTTCTCACAGCTGTACCTGGCATTTGGGGGCCTGGGGCTGAGCAGGGCTGCCAGGCTTCCCTTAGCACCAGTGGCAGTAGGACAGCATTGCTGCTGTTCAGTTGCTCAGTAAGTATTGATTTAAGTGCTTACTAGATGAAGGTGACCAGCTTTTAACATTGGTAAAGCGGGCCACCATTGATAAAACTCATATCCTGGCGAAATAGCCACATGGCAGCCGAAAACCATATACCCTAGCTTGCCATGCATTCTTTCCAAAAATCGGGACTTTTTTAAAACCCCGCGGGTCGTGGGCAAAATTGTTAAAAATCGGGACTGTCCCGCTGCCTTATACTAGATCCCAGTAGCTGCCAGGAATGTGAAGGCACCGTAGCTACAGCTTTCAGCCTAGCAGCAGAAATCGCACAAGCTCTCAAATCAGTGCCTTGTGGTAGAGGGTGGGAAGGGTAGTGAGTCTTCAGAGAAGTGGTGCTTATAGTAGTTCTTGAAAACTGGCAAAAAATCGCCCCCCTCCCAAATGGGGGCTTTCAAAAATTTGTGGGAAATTTTCATTATCTTTTCATGCCTTGTCTCCAGGAACTTTTTAAAGCCCCCTAGTGTGTAACACATGGGAGAATGATAAAGAAGCTTTCAACTCTGGTAAAGATTTCCAGTCTCAGAAACCCACAGGGACAGTTCTGCTGTGTCCTGTAGGGTCACTATGAGTCAGCATCGACTCGCTGGCAGTGAGTTTGGAGTGAGTGTGTAGCAGCATTTGTCAATTCAACTTTGTTCACATTTGTGATGGAGCCAGTCGCGCCAAACAGATGCTAGTCAGGGAGAATGACGGGTGCAGGAGTTTGAATGTTGAGGAAACATTTGCAGCGTTGTTATTAGACCCATTTAGAAGCAGTGAGAAGGGCAGGTTTTTAATGCGATTGCCTGCCACCCCGTGCTTTGTGGTGTCTTGTACGCAGTCAGCCCCCAGTAAATGTTAGCGCTTGGGTGGTCTCATCACCAAAGGGGACTTTTGTGTTTTCATTTCTTGTCTACAGATTCTCTTCTATGTTTGCCACCTCACTCTTATGTCCACACCTCTCTCACTCAAAAAGGTGAAGAGGCCAAGCTGTGGCTGGGGCCAGTGTGGGGAGAAAGCAACAGGGAAGATGAGGAGGCTGGAGCCAGGGGGCGTGGCTTTGCGTGGCCTTCCTGCCCTGCCTGTGGACAGCTGCAGTCATTCGCCGACGGGTTGAGCTCCAGTTGTACTATGAGCCCAGGAGTGTCCCGCGTGGTTCTGCCTTCATAGCATTTCAGCTCTACCTTATTTGATTCCTCCTCTGTTTTCACCTTTGTGACTTATGTATGGCATGGCATGAATCTCTCAAGATTTAGTTTCTTCATCTGCACAACAGAGATGAGCTTTGTATGTATCCTATCTGTAGATGTCAGGGTTAAATGTGTTACTGCATGTAAAGCCGTCCTAGCAGTGACTAGCCGGAAATGAATTCTTCAGCCCTTCCTCTGAGGGGGTGAGATCTATCTGGTTTACTTAGAGAGGACTCTCCTTTTCCTGAAAAGGCAGTCACTGATCAATGAGGACACACTGTGCACTTTGTCAGACACTGTGCTGGGGAACCAGGGACATGGGGGAGACTAAAGCTGAGCCCTGTCCTCACTGTTGATCCTTAGGTCACTGCCTGGTGACATGGACACACGGGGCAGTGTCAATATTGTGTATTCCATGCTGGGATAGACATCACCGGGGGTGCTTAAGCCACACACGGAGAGATTCACCTTTGGGAACCTGGGTTGGGGAGGTGGAAACGGATGCCTGAGCTGAGGACTTAAGATATGAATGGAAGCAAATAAGTGCCCTACGTCCCTCCTCTACTCAAGTGTATTCATTTCCATTGCAGTTTTCTCAGAGGATTTTCTGGAGAATAGATTGGCTTGGGCAAGAAGAGGCATCTAATGGAACCAAGGAAGAGACAGGAGGGTTCAAGAGGGCCCCAGAGTCCTTGTTGCCTCAATCCAGGAATTCGTAGAAGCCCTAAAGACTTCCCATCGAAGCTTCAGTGCTAGTTGCCAGCTACTGCTCCCACCTGATGGACATGTTGCGATTTAAAAATACTGGGTTTTTTTTCAAAACTTTCTCAACCTTGAGCTCTATTTAGTAACACTATGGTTTATATAAATTATGTGCACACAAGACTACACAAGTACGCTATGTACATTTGAATTACATAAACAGAAAATTATGTTTACTAAGTAATGAGCAACAAATAGGAAACTCAGACCCTCCTACTCAGCCATGCATCTGATAGAGAGAAAAGGTCATTCTAAGCAGCCTTGAGGTACCAGCCACTTCACACTGCAAGGCAGAACTAGCCATCTTCAAATGAAAGCATTGTTTTAAGTGGTTGTAACTAGATGTTTCTCAAACTAGTGAACATCCCATCCAGCACACACACTCTGGTGAAACTAT